TGGTACCCAGGAGCGTCAGCAGTCGCCTTCTCGCTTGAAGGAGCGGTACCAGGACAGCAGCTAGGCGACGTAATTTTCAACTACGTCATGGCAGCATGTGTGAAGGAAGCCCAGCAGGGACTGCAGGAGCTGGAGCTAGACCTACGCATACCCATCTCATTACACGCTACCATGTCTGACATGATGCAGCAAGCTCCCGACACTATGAGAGGAGGGCTCGAGGTATGCTTTTTTTCGATCATGGTGCGATTGTTGTCATAGGAGCAGCCCTGCACCTGCTCGAAGCAGCGTCCAAGGTAGCTGCAGTGGTCGCCGCCAGCTTTGTGAGAAGAGGCCTCAGGCTCAATTTCGCTGCAGGCGAGCCGGAGGTGCTGTTTCAACTAAGAGGAGTTGGCGCCAAGCGTGCCAAACGGGAGTTGTGGCTCGAACGGGAAGGCCGCTTCGAGATCCAATCAGAACTTCTAGGGCGCTTCACCCTGCTTGCGGTGAGGACATACCCGCACTTGGGCACACAGTTTGACGAATTGGGATCTATCGGGCCCGAGCTGGCCCATCGGGAAGCGTCTGTGCGGTCTTCTGGTACGCTACTGCGTAGAAGGGTCTTTGGCTCCCCTATTTGGGCTCCCACAACAGGCCACACTGCACTTCGTGGACACACTTATTTTCGCGGGCCTCCTCTACAATGCAGGCACATGGCCCGAGCTCACGGAAGCTCAGCACGCAAACCTCCAGCACCTGATCATCAGCAAATACCGTCAGGTTCTGAGGGCCCCTCAGAAGGACTCCGACTCAGACCCCGACAGGCTGATACTTGCACGGGTACGACGGGCGGATCTGCAGGCTTCGCTTGCTGGGTCGCCTCTTACACCATGGCACACCTGCGCTGCGCAGATTACTCACGCATGTCTACCGCAAGGCACACACGCGGAAAAATACATGGTTACACAAAGTACTACAGGACTTGCAGTGGGTGCGAACCACCAACTGCCGACTTCGTGACATGCCAGATCCAGAGGAGGACTTCCAGGCATGGGAAGTTCGAATCTTGCAGACTCTCCCAGCTTGGAAGAAAGTGTTGCACGCCACCCTCGCTGCGCACGCAAATGCAGCGGCAAGAGCAGCCCGAGCCGACAAGGCGCAGCAAGATTTCTTTCAGCTTGTGCACCCGGCAGGAGTACCGATACCGATCACGAACGTGAATCACCCTCTCCATCCCTCCCCGCAGGTGCAAGATTACTTTCGATGCATGTGGTGTGTCTATGTGGGTACGACTGCAAAGAGCACACGACAGCACATTGTGCGCGCACATTACAGCCAGGTACATGTGGTATCCAGGTTCATGGGGGAGGGGTCCGTATGCATGGCGTGCTCTATGGCTTTCTCCTCTCGGCGTCTTCTCAGGGATCACCTAGCCTTTGACGCTGCAGTGTGCCAGTTGGCATACATTTTGCACGGAGCCACGGTCTCTCCAGACAGGGCAGAGGAGCTGCGACAAGCAGATCTCGACCAGCACGCGAAGCAACGCCGTGCAGGACTAGGCAGGTGGAGAGCAGCATTCCCAGCACACATACAATATCCAGTGGGCGGGCTGTACCCAGCAGCCATGTTTGCAGCAGCCTTCTTCTCTGAGAGTGAGGCCAAGGAACTTCTTCGTACGCACGCATACGAAATAGGACCTACTGCACTATCAGCATACACAGCTCTCTTTACTGACCCCCCACAGACAGCAGAGCAGGAAGGGCTTACATACAGTGACAGATACTACAGATATCGACCGCAGGATTTCAGTGGCACAGCTGCCGAGTGGATACCCATACGAGTGTACAGAAAGGAGATCGTTGTGCTCAACCTTTTCTCAGGCAGGCGCCGCGAAGGCGACGCGCAGGCCTGGATTGAGCAGGGGCAAATTGCGACAGCCTGCCATATTATCATGCTCTCAGTGGACATTGCCATTGACACAGATATGAGGGACCTCATGCGCACAGATACTATCACACAGTGGGGTGAACACATCTTGGCCAGACGGGTGTGGAACACGGGGGGGGACCCCCTTGTGAAACCTGGAGCGCGGCCAGATGGCTGGACGGGGGTCCCCCCCCTTTACGTATGCATGAATGGTTCTGGGGCGTCCCTTGGGTTTCAGAACGACAGGCCCTACAACTACATGCGGCCAATATGCTACTGCAGAACCTTGTGTTCCTTCTGGGCTGCCACATGGTGGCTGGGACCTCTGGGTGGACCGAACATCCCCTCCCGGCCCACTGGCGGCCAGAGGCCCCCAGTAGCTTCCACTGGGAGCCCCTCGAGGCCCTAGCCTCAGCGCCCATCACGATCACGGCCGACTTCGATCAATGCACGTTGCAGCCAACATATCGAGATCCAGCGGAGTTTGGCAGAGCTCCCACGCGTCTCCTCGGACTGAGGATGCCATGTTTGCGACGACGCCTGTGCGACGGGCCAGGCAATGGCTGGTGTCAACACGGGAGAGGAGTGCACACAATACTGCAGGGGAAGGAGCATGTTGGAGGACGCACGGTCTTTAAGACGCATGCTAAGAAAACATATCCTGAGGATATGTGTGCACGTTTAGCAGCAGCCATTGCAGCCTTCATGCAAAATATTTATGCAGATGCTGACAACGATAATCAGCAATTTGACGAGAGCGCATTGTGCGCCGACTTACGCAAGTTTTACCTGCCAGAGATAGGTACGGACTTCGAGACTGCACCAGACTTTGCAGGAGGAACGACCAAGATGCAGAGAGCTGACCCAGAGATGCACAGGTTCTAGGACGATCCCGGTGAGACTCCCAAGGGCCCCATATGTGCTCCGACTCCAGCTCCCACTCCAGCTCCGACTCCAGCTCCTGACGGCCCCAGCATGAATATTCCCATGCATGAGCCAGGATCGGATGAGGAGCTTGAAGCTGAGAATTTGCTGGGGCTTTGCCCCTCCCTCCCCGTCTCTCCCCTGTTTCCCCCGCTGCCGCCGCCGCCGCCGCCCCTCCCGCCTCGCCTCACCCCTGAGCAGATGGCACGCATTGCGGCCAACCGCTCTGAGGCGCAGCTCAGGCGCCAGGCCAGGAGGGCCGCGGCCCACAGGCGCAGAGCGCCATGGACAGGTAACCTTTCCTTCGCCTCCTTCTTCGAGGCGGGACCCACTATTGCCGCCCCCGCCGCCTCTCTTGGCTTTCCTCCTACAGAACAGGAGGCCTAGGCGGGGAGCGCGGCAAGACGACGAGAGCTCGCGAACTCTTCGCCATGCCTGCGTCCCACCACACCCTTCCTCCCTCCCTCCCTCCCTCCCTCCTCCTCCTCCTCCTCCTCCTCCTCCTCCTCCTCCTCCTCGTCCTCCTCCTCCTCTTCCTGCGCGGATGCGGTCACTCGTCCGCCCCCAGGTCGCGCGCATGCTCCTCCCCCTCCTCCTCCTCCTCCTCCTCCTCCTCATCCTCCTCCTTCCCCTCCTCCTCCTTCTCCTCCTCCGCCGTCCTCGCCCTCCCCCTCTCCCTGCTGCGCCTCCTCCTCCTCCTCCTCCTCCTCTTCTTCTTCCTCCTCCTCCTCCTCCTCCTCCTCCTCAAAACTCCATACTCGAATTCTTGTACCTGCCTCGCTTTCATCCGGGCAACAGCCCCAAATTTGCTTTCGGGCGCGGGGCGCACCTCCTCGCCGGCCAAATCCTTGGAGGTGGGCCCGACAGTCCGAGAGTGCGGAAGGCCGCTCTTCCGGAAAGCGCCGCGCAGCTCGGGGATTCCCACCCAGGAATCGGTGCGGCGACAGTCCGTGCGGTGAGCTCGAAATCCCACGACGACGCCGACGCCGACGCCGACGCCGACGCCGACGACGACGTCGCCGAGGCTGCACGGAGCGGGCAGCGCCGCCGCCATCGCCCTGGGCAACGGTCCGCCACCGCACCGCTTGAGGACCCTGGAAGCCCCAACTGACCGAGACCTCCTCGGAAAAGGAACGACCCAACTGCAACAAACCGTGCGGTGTCCCCGAACCCCCACCGGCTCACCACACCATAACCGAGGCCAGGACGAAGATAACATCGGGTGAGGACAAATTTAGAATCTCTGAGATCGGGCGGCTCTGGAGGATGACTCGGGCATCGTGGCCTTCTCAAAGCGCTTAGGAACGCTCTGAGAGCTTTCTGGAACGTTCTAGAACGATTTTTTCTTCGTCTTAGTCCCGTCCGACACCAACCCTCTTCCGAATGCTTGGCTTCCAGGCCATAGCTCGGGACTCGGGCGGCCGTTCGGGGATCCAGGCGCCCCCTGGACGCTCTCGGCGAGCCGCAGCTGCTGGGACGCGTCCCGAGGCAGGAACACCTTGAGGAACTGACGAAAACGACCGAAATTCCAAGAATCCCCACCGGCTCACCACACGGTATGGACACACCAGTTCTTTTAGGGGCCCCCTCCGAAGAGCGTGCCTTCACCATCACCGCGGCCGTCGCGGGGGCGAGGCTCGCGCTGAGGTGTCGCCCCCGCCTTCCGGAGAAGTGCCCTGGCCCCGCGTCGCTGCACTGGCCGAAAGCCCCTGGAGCGATCGCTTCCTAAGTTTTGCGCTCGGCTTTTCTCGAGGATCGAGGAGGCATGTATATTCGAAATTTTCGGCCCTTTTCGGGCCTCCGGAATCCTCCGGGGACCTCCAAGGATCTCGGGGGTCAGGATCCCGGGTGGGAGCAAAACGTGCTACGGTCGGTGTGGTGCTTGTCAGGCGCTCCGCCGTATCTTCTGCTGAGTTGCTCAAGCTGTATTCTCGTGGCGTGGCGACACAAGCTAAGGTGTTAAACTTTCATCCAGGGGTCCGCTATCAGAGCCAATGGGGATGTGAGGTCGACGGCTACCGAGATGGCCTAGACTGCAAGTAGGTATGTCTCACGTGCAATCTTGGCCGTCATGGCTGACCCGTACCACTTCAGGCTCGTGCTGAATGCGAGCAGCAGTGCCATGCTTGCAGCGGTCCTCGTGAAGTCCCACCCTCGCCGCATGACCCCGCCCTCCTTTGAGTCTCTTGAACGCCTCTGTCGCACCAGGCACGTCCTGAGTCTTGTCTGGATGGACTGTGCGCGACATCCTGCGGTGCAATGCTCAACCACGGTGCATCCAGATCAAGAATCTGCCCAACATTGCCTGATTCGGACCCACACAGCTTGACTGTTCTTGAATCGTAGAACTGATGCTGGGTCAAGGATCGCGTGCACCGCGGTGGTGGGGTAACGTGAACAACTTACGCATGGACCGCGAATTTGCGAGTAAACGGTGTTAGCCAGCGTCGACCCTAAACGGTATGTTTCTAGCATTATAATCAGTGCACTGTATGTGGAACAACCTATGTCGTGCCATCTACGTGGTGCGATCTAGGTGGTGCAACTTCGCGCTGCGCAATATATGTGTGGCAACCTATGTGGTGCAACCTATATTGTGCAGTACATGCTGTGCGGCGTATGTGGTGCAACATGTGCAGTGACTTATATGTTGTATTACCTCTGGTGTGCAATCTACGTTGTGCAACCTATGTGGTGCAACCTACGTGGTACAATCTAGGTGGTGCAATCAGCGTGGTGCATTCTATGGTGTGAAATTTGCCCTGCCGAACTTCAATTTGTCAACTCCACTGCTCGCGCAAACATCCCACCCACCCACCTGCAATGTAGTTTGCAAAACCCATGCGACGGCGATTGCGACGAGTGCTTGGCGTTGGCTGGTGTGTGTCTGCGGCCGCGCTAGCCAGCACATGCTCGCGCGCGCGAATCGACCAGCTAGTGCGGCGCGACCGCCGCGGCCTCGGTGGCGCTGACCGCTGGTTACTTCCAGCGGGCACTTCAATGCGAGTCGATGAGTTGGGCGGGCGCGATATCATGACGGCGCCGACAACGGTGGACACGATTATGACACTAGAGATGATATTGACGATGGTGGCGATGACAATGGCAAGGCCAATGACGGCGCTGATGTTGATCACGCCCGCCGGACACGATGACGATGTCCTCGCGTCGGCGATGAAGGTTTTGGAAGAAATTCGAAATGCGCGCGCGGCCGACCCGCGTGACTGACCCGCGTGGCGTTATTTGACACGGATCGTGCTCCCCCCCCAGCACGCGCGCAAGGGTGTTCGAATGAGTTCGACATGTGGAGCGACGGGCCTTTGTGGTAGCATCTGATGAACATGTTGAAACACCTACGGATTTCTTAGGAATCCGCACGACCGCGAACGCACTTTTTTTGTTGAAAACTTTTGTTGCGAAACCATGTGTTTCCATATGTATTCGGAACACTCGTGTTTGAAATCTCTATGACACCTGTGTTTTATTTAGTTGGAAGATTCGGGCATGCGCGCGCGACGACGCGCGCGTGTGCACGTCGTTCCCATTTTGCAATGAATTCTTGCGACAGCGCGCATACAAGCGCGTTCGAGCGATTTCGACATGCGCGAACAAGAAGCCCGTTTGGTAGCACCTGATGAACATGTTGGAACACCGGTGATTTTCTTCAGAATCCACACGACAGCGAGCGCAGGTATCATTTGAAAAACCTTGTTGCAACAAACATGGTATGTGAACACACACACATATGTCTATATTCGGCGCACTCGATCTTGAAATCCTTACGAAACCGAAGGCTTTTGTAATATTTCGGCATGCGGGCAAGACGACACGCGCGTGCGCACTTCGTCCCGTTTTCTGCAAGATATTATTGAAAACTGTTGCTTTTTAATAAAAGGAGAACACGCGCATTGTGTTTTTGCAGAGGTTGAGGGGGGAAGCCGGTACTGGCCTGCCTAGAATGGTATGAGTTCGTACGTCGGATGACGATGTGGTAGAATCATGTGTACATTGCAATGCGGAAAAGGTGGACCGTTAACCTCGCGGAGTGTGTGTGGGGGGTAGATCCGTACTCTTTTAGACTGGAGAACCGATGTGGTGCAACCTATGTTGCTCAATCTATGTTGTGCAACCTATGGGGTGCAACTTATGCTGTGCAATATAAGTGGTGGAATATATGTTGTACAACCTCTGTGTGGCAATACATGTGGCACAATCTAGGTAGTGTGTTTTGCAATCTTTGTTGTGCAGTAAGCTGCCTGCCTCCAAGAAGCTTACGAGAGGCCCCCCAAGAGATTCTCAGAGTGACACGCATCCAGAAGGCCTCTGGCCTACAACCCAAGCGCGGTGGCGGGATGGGCCAGGGGCCAATCGATACTTGATGCGCGCCATGGCCTTTCCTAAATTGGTTTCTTATGTTGCACGGACCCCTGGGCTCCCCCGCGGCTTGTCGCATTACTTTTTCGGGCCGAAAGGGGCTCCAGGACAGGGACAGGGCGCCTCAAGAGGGTCTCAAGACGGCCCAAGAGGGCCCCCAGACGCCCATATATCGCTCCAAGACGCTCGAGATGGCCCCAAGATGGCCCAAGAGGCTTCCAAAACGCTCCAAGAAGCCTCCACGAGCACCCGCAGCTGGGCCCCAAGAGGCGAAAATCATTGATTTTCCTTGAACTTTGAAGGTCTTGGCGTTCTCGTCTACTGGACTTCCCTACGCCCCCAGACGGCGCTCGAGGCCCCAAGATCGCCCCAAGATGGCTCGAGAAGCCTCCACGAAGGCCCCCAAAAGGGCCCCAAGAGAGCCCACGAGGCGCCCAAGACGGCCCACGAGGCCCCAAAGAAGGCTCCAAGAGCAGGGCCCAGGCAGGGGACCCGAGCGGACATTTCGAGCCCTCGGCCCCGAGGTGCCCCAAAGAGGTCCCAAGAAGCTCCCAAGAGGCCCCAAGAGGCCTGGCTCCCAACAGGCCCCCAAGAGGCCCCAAAACTGCCCCCACGAGGCGCCCGAGAGTGCTCTGAAGAGACCCCAAGAAGCATCTCTGGGAGCTCAGACCCGCAAGCCCGGTACGGTGACGGGATGGGCCGAAGGCCATTCGATATACAAGTCGGTGCGCATTCCGACCTGGTCCCGGCACGATCTCTGGTCCGCCGACCCCCGGTTGCCATGGGTGAAAAAGGCGTCCCCCTCCCCCTTTCCCTGTCCCCTGAAGTCCAAGTGCCCTTCTAGAGGGGCGGGGACGAGCTCGTCAACGCACCCCCGGGGCCTCCAGAGCCCCCGAAAAGCCCCAAGACAGCCGAACAGGTCCCAGACAGAGCGCCAAGACAGTCGAAGAGAGCGTGATGACGGCCCAGGGTAGCCCCAGGACGATCCAAGATAGTTTCAGGTAGCCCACGAGGCCCTCATGGCAGCCCGAAAGCGTCTTTAGAGGATCGCCGAAAAGGCCCCAAAATGCCCAAACCATCCCATTCCCTTTGTACAAAAAAATTATCCCGGCAAAGCAACCTAACAGCGATGTGTAGGAGCATATCTGGAAGCATCCCCCTTAAGATTCAGATGAGAATCCAGTTGTAGAGTTCTGCTGTTCTCGCAGTCGTAGTCGCATTCGCGATGACAGTCGCAGTGGCCTGCATTAGCCTCAGCCTCAGCCTCAGCCTGCCTCAGCATCAGCCTCAGCCTCAGCTTCAGCCTGCCTCAGCCTCAGCCTCAGCCTGCTCCTGCATCAGCCTCAGTCTGCCTGCAGCCTCGGCCTCAGCCTCAGCCTGCCTCAGCCTGAGCCTGCCTCAGCCTCAGCCTCAGCCTCAGCCTGCCTGCCTCAGCATCAGCCTCAGCCTCAGCCTCAGCCTCAGCCTCAGCCTCAGCCAGCCTCAGCCTCAGCCTGCATCAGCCTCAGCCTCAGCCTCAGCATCAGCCTGCCTCAGCCTCAGCCTCAGCCTGCCTCAGCCTCAGCCTCAGCCTGCTTCAGCCTCAGCCTCAGTCTGCCTTCAGCCTCGGCCTCGGCCTCGGCCTGCCTCAGCCTCAGCCTGCATCAGCCTCAGCCTCAGCCTGGCTCAGCATCAGCCTGCCTCAGCCTCAGCCTCAGCCTGCCTCAGCCTCAGCCTCAGCCTCAGCCTGCTTCAGCCTCAGCCTCAGTCTGCCTTCAGCCTCGGCCTCAGCCTCAGCCTGCCTCAGCCTCAGCCTGCATCAGCCTCAGCCTCAGCCTCAGCCTGCCTCAGCATCAGCCTGCCTCAGCCTCAGCCTCAGCCTGCCTCAGCCTCAGCCTCAGCCTGCTTCAGCCTCAGCCTCAGTCTGCCTTCAGCCTCGGCCTCAGCCTCAGCCTGCCTCAGCCTCGGCCTGCATCAGCCTCAGCCTCAGCCTCAGCCTGCCTCAGCATCAGCCTGCCTCAGCCGCAGCCTCAGCCTGCCTCTGCCTCAGCCTCAGCCTCAATCTGCCTTCAGCCTCGGCTTCAGTCTCAGCCTGCCTCTGCCTCAGCCTGCATCAGCCTCAGCCTCAGCCTGCCTCAGCCTCAGCCTGCCTCAGCCTCAGCCTCAGCCTGCCTCAGCCTCAGCCTCAGCCTGCTTCAGCCTCAGCCTCAGTCTGCCTTCAGCCTCGGCCTCAGCCTCAGCCTGCCTCAGCCTCAGCCTGCATCAGCCTCAGCCTCAGCCTCAGCCTGCCTCAGCATCAGCCTGCCTCAGCCTCAGCCTCAGCCTGCCTCAGCCTCAGCCTCAGCCTCGCCTGCTTCAGCCTCAGCCTCAGTCTGCCTTCAGCCTCGGCCTCAGCCTCAGCCTGCCTCAGCCTCAGCCTGCATCAGCCTCAGCCTCAGCCTCAGCCTGCCTCAGCATCAGCCTGCAGCCTCAGCCTCAGCCTGCCTCAGCCTCAGCCTCAGCCTGCATCAGCCTCAGCCTCAGTCTGCCTTCAGCTTCGGCCTCAGCCTCAGCCTGCCTCAGCCTGCCTCAGCCTCAGCATCAGCCTGCCTCAGCATTCAAAATGTGGCCAGGGAATGGAATTCTGGGAACTCGAAGAACACGAAGTGGCCTACAGTTTGCTCCGGGCATTCAAAATCATACCCAGGAATGGAGTTCTGGGAAGTCCAAGAGCACGAAGTGGCCTACAGTTGGCTCCGGGCATCCAAAATGTGGCCCGGGAATGGAGTTCTGGGAACTCGAAGACCACGAAGTGGCCTACAGTTGGCTCCGGGCATCCAAAATGTGGCCCGGGAATGGAGTTCTGGGAACTCGAAGACCACGAAGTGGCCTACAGTTGGCTCCGGGCATCCAAAAT